TTTTTTTTTTTTTTTTTTTTTTGGTTACTTTTTCCTTTCTTATCTCTCAACTTGATTGAATAGGTTCTAATGTGGCCATTTGACCAAAAGAATCAAGAATTGTAGACATAACTTTTGTTTTGGATTTCCAAGTTTGTCAAAGGCTATTAATTATGGATTGTTGGTATTTCATCGTTTTGAAACTTTCTGAATCAGGATATGGTTGTGTTTAAGCCACAAATACCCAGTCAACAGCAACAACAGCAGCAAATGCAACAACAGCTTCAACAACATCCTCAGATGCAGCAACAGCATCAGCTTTCTCAGCTGCAACAACATCAACAACTACCGCAAATGCAACAACAGCAGCAGCAGCAGCAGCAGCTTCCTCAGTTGCAACAACAGCAGCAGCAGCAGCATCCTCAGCTACAACAGCAGCAGCAGCTTCCTCAGCTACAACAGCAGCAGCAGCAGCTTCCTCAGCTACAACAGCAGCAGCAGCTTCCTCAGCTACAACAGCAGCAGCAGCAGCAGCAGCAGCATCCTCAGCTACAACAGCAGCAGCAGCATCCTCAGCTGCAACAACAGCAACAACAACAGCAGCAGCAGCAGCTTCCTCAATTACAGCAGCAGCAGCAGCAGCAAACACAATTGTCACAGCTTCAAAGCCAGCAGCAGATTCCACAAATTCAGCCACAGCAGCAACAAATGGTCGCGGGTGGAATCGGTCAATCTTATGTTCAAGGTGCAGGGCGATCACAATTAGTTTCACAGGGACAAGTCTCTTCACAGGGTCAATCTAACATGCCTGGTGGAACCTTTATGGGTTGATTGGAGCATTCTAATTACAGTCTCATGCAGATGCTTTTATTATTTCATTAGAATCCTGGTAATGCACGGTTTTTAACCGATCTAGTGTAATTGATGTGTAATAGTGAATTTATGAATATATGCCACGATGGTTCCAGTAATTATAATGTCACATCCATTAAAATTGGAAAAAATGGGACGTTTTTCCTTTAGAGGAAGAAATGGAAAGCTTACTAGTCAGTTGTTTCTTTCCCCCATGAACATAAAAGTAGGACTGTACTAAAATGGTAGTAAAATAATGATAACATATTTGTGATGAGAAGTCTCCAAGAAGTCATGTTTCTGCCTCAAGCCTTCAGGGAATGCATCAAAAAAGGAAATTAGATACCCCCACCTCAACTTTAAAACACAGCCACCATCTTCTAACTTTAATCATACTTTCTTTCACTAATGGCCTCCCACTTTTCAAAATGCTATTATTTTTGTCAACCGGATAAACAATGTTCAACAGCCATAAACCACCCTCGTTTTCATCATTGCTAACTATGTCATTGTCTATTCTAACTCAAAATTTTTTCGATTGAGGAAAAGTTTACTTTTTCATAACAGTTTAATATTTGTTCGATTTAAATTTAAAATACTTAATATAAAAAAAATCTCATACATTGACAGATAGAATCACTCTCATTGTCGTATCGAATCGGGAGAGCGATTATTATAGCAGAATCTAACATGGGGACACTGTTTTCTTCCCTATTAAGTTGGGTGTTTCTGTGCGTTTGAGAAAGACCAGCGATGATGAGAATACTATTCCTCGTCCCTTGATTCAATAACATCATTTTGATTCGCTGTTCTCATTTTCAAGGACCCCTCCTACTTTGTTCTTTGCAGAACTCAAAAAGAGGCAGAAAGGATTCTTCATAATATGATTAATAATTGCATAACTAAAAAATAGCAAGCTTTCACCGCTTTACACATCACCCCAGTGACCCCATATTCTACTCACTATTTTATCGATTTAAATATGGTTTAGTAGATAAGACATCAACCATCGTTAACAAAATCAATGTTTCTTCTTAACTTTCAAAACGTGACATGAATTTTGAAAATATTGTTAGAAGGTAGAACAAAGAGATCCATAATAGATAAACCACGATAATGATCTCTATTGGTACAAAATATTTTAAGTAAAGGCAAAATAAAGTCACGAACGTTTATATTCAAAGTAGACAATATTATATCAACAACGTAGATCTTAAACTTAAACTTTGGCTGTTGTTATTGCTCGACAACCAACACATAAATAGCCACATGGAGTAGAAGTGTAAGAAGACAATGAAACCAAGTAATAACAGGAATACAAGTGTTACGAGAAAATACATTCATTAACTCTCTTACAAGTCAACTTTGCTTTACTTCCCCCCTTCCTACATTTTGTGTACCGCTGATTTCCTTTGTCTTTTTCCTCTTAAACAATGGCCTGAAAACAACGAATCAAGTAAAGCAAAACTAAAGTGGGGCTAATTCTATTTATATTTGGTTTCGATCGTTTTGAGAGACACACACCAAACTCAAAGCCTTTCATCTTTGCATTCGTGTTTGGGCTCCTTCTCTTTATACTACTTTGAACATGGCTTCTGCTTCTGAAGCTCCTAAGGTGAAGCCTGCAACCACCGTGTCCAATGGCTATGGCCTTAATTTCTCTGTTAATTATATATTCTTAACTCTGTTCATCTTCCCAGGAAGTTCTTGAGGCTGACCAGGAATGGAAGAACGGGAAAGAACCAACACGGCAAGCCAAATGGTGGTATGCTACCTTCCATTCTGTCACGGCCATGATAGGTGCAGGGGTCCTCAGCCTGCCCTATGCCATGGTTTACTTAGGATGGTAATGTTAAATCACTACTAAACTCAAAATCGTGTAGGTTTTTACATGATTAGGCTAACCATTATGGATTGATCAGGGGTCCAGGGACAATGGTTTTGTCCATATCATGGTGCATGACGCTAAACACAATGTGGCAGATGATTCAGCTCCATGAATGCATCCCAGGGACTCGTTTCGATCGATATATCGACCTCGGCCGACATGCTTTCGGTGAAAAACTTGGCCCCTGGATTGTGCTGCCACAGCAACTCATTGTCCAAGTCGGCTGCGACATAGTGTATATGGTGACAGGCAAGGTTTTAGATATCACAAAAATGTCTGAATTATCAATGATATTAATATGAACATGCTGGATTGAACAGGAGGCAAGTGCATGAAGAAGTTCATGGAGATGGCTTGTGTGAACTGTGTTGAAGTCAAACAATCTTACTGGATTTTGATATTTGGTTCAATTCATCTCTTCCTTTCTCAACTTCCCAATTTCAATTCCGTTGCTGGTGTTTCTCTAGCAGCTGCCGTCATGTCTCTAAGGTAACAGAAAGAACTGGCTTTAATTTTTTACAGAATATGTTCCATTGATTCAAATTGTTCTTAAATCTCTGCTTCATGTCTGCTACCTTTATTCTTCCTTTCAAATATGAGTTGTGAGTATAAGATTTCCCATTCTTTCAAAAAAAAAAAAAAAAAAAATGAGATCTCACACTTTACTCCAACCTATATGAGATCTCATAATCCACTCTCTTTGGGGCCAGCGTTTTTGCTGGCACACAGCCTCCTGTCCACCCCAGGCTCAACCTCCTTATTGGCACATTGCTTGGTGTCTGACTCTGATACCATATGTAACCGTCCAAACTCATCACTATCAGATATTGTATGTTTGGACCTTTTCTTTCGAGGTTCTTTCTCAAGATTTTTAAAATTCGTCTATTAGGATAGGCTTCATACTTTCATAAATGGTGTTTTTTTTGTTCTCCTCCGGATATGAAGTTTCAGACAAGATGATGATTCAATAAAGATATTAAAAAGCAATAAATGATTTGTAACACAAAGGAGAGTGAGAATTACTTAGAAATTTGGAAGATGGGGATGAATTGATTGCAGCTATTCGACAATTGCATGGGTTGGGAGCCTGAGCCATGGTAGAATCGAAAACGTGAGCTATGCGTACAAGGAAACCAGCGTCCAAGATTCAACGTTTAGAGTCTTCAACGCCTTAGGCCAAATCTCCTTCGCATTCGCCGGGCACGCCGTGGTTCTGGAGATTCAAGCCACCATACCATCAACGCCGGAGAAACCGTCGAAAGTTCCGATGTGGAAAGGCGCGGTGGGGGCTTATATCATCAACGCCATCTGCTACTTTCCGGTGGCTTTGATCGGATACTGGGCTTTTGGGCAAGATGTTGAAGATAATGTTCTTTTGAATTTCAAAAGACCTGCGTGGCTCATTGCGTCTGCTAATCTTATGGTTGTGGTTCATGTAATTGGCAGCTACCAGGTCTAAACAATTACTAAATTCCCTTTGATCTTAACGGTATTGTTGAAAAAAATCTAATCTCTCATGTATGTATGTATATACTCATATTAGGTGTATGCCATGCCTGTGTTCGACATGTTGGAGAGGATGATGAGGAAGAGATTCAACTTCCCTCATGGATTTCTCCTCAGATTTATCACTCGAACGGCTTATGTTGGTGAGTTCTCCTGCAAAAGTTTCTTTCCAGTGAATTCTTATTTTAGACGTTCCCTCCCTGTTTTAGAACGTGGACAGGTTTTTGTCACACGGTCCGTGTCTGGCTTTGATATCATTTGTAACTGCCCAAAATGATAATATATGCTAAGTGGTGCGTTTAAGTTGTAACAAATAGTATTAGAGCCAAATAACAACGAGTGGTGTGTCAGTGAAGACGCTGAGCATAGATTATAAATTATGGTTTTATGTTTCAGCATTTACTATATTTGTTGGAGTCACCTTCCCTTTCTTCGGAGATCTGCTTGGTTTCTTTGGTGGCTTTGGATTTGCTCCAACTTCCTACTTCGTAACATTTCTCTCTTATTCTCTCTTTAATTGTTATGAATCCAAACTGCTCTCTTTCTTCATCTCTTTAATTAATTGCAGCTTCCAAGTGTTATGTGGCTAGTGATCAAGAAGCCAAAGCGCTACAGTCGCAGTTGGTTCATCAACTGGGTATATATTTTGTTCATCCTCATCACAGTTTCATTCGTTAATTACTTAATTACCTAATGATGTAGTAACCAATATGTGTGGTTTATGTTATTTGTTACAGGCAAGCATATTGATTGGAGTGTTCATAATGTTGGCATCCACTGTGGGAGGCCTGCGCAATATAATAGCAGATGCTTCCACTTACACTTTCTATGCCTAAACCCTTTCTAATTTTCTTATGTTTATGTGTGTTTATTTTACTTCTTTATCTTTTCATAATACAATTCTATGTTTTTTATTGGGATCTCACAATATTAAGAGTAACACGTTTCTTGACTTGGGTTCTTTATCATTCATACTTATAAATTCATGCAATATTCATTCACGTCATCATGACCTAGGTCATTGGACTGCCTTTACATAAGTCACGCACGAATTGAGAAATGATCCAAACTTTTAAAGATAGTGAGATCCCACGTCGGTTAGAGAGTGAAACTAAGCATTCCTTATAGGGTTGTGGAAACCTCTCCGTAACTTACACATTTTTAAAATCGTGAGGTTGACAACAATACGTAACTGGCCAAAACATGGGTTTGAGCTGTTACAAAAGGTATCAGAGCGAGACACCAGACGGTGTGCCAGCGAGGACGTTAGGCCCCCAAAGAGGGTGGATTGTGAAATTCCACGTCGATTGGAGAAGGGAACGAAACATTTCTTATAAAGGTTGCACACTAACAATTGCACGCTAACAGTAAGTTTGGGGTCATTCCTGCCATTCTTATCGGTTAGCATTGGAGTAGTGGGAATAACTTGATAGCGAGGGACCAGCTTGAATGGAATGTAGGTGAAGACCAAAAGGTGCAATATTTTTGGAGGAAAAGGATTGTGTGTGTATGCAGATATGTTGAGAGCAGACTGTCGTGGTGTGTAGCATCTCCTTTTTGGGTTGGTGGTGTGGTGTATAAGCTTCGTAGCATATGCCATTCCACTTCAATTTCCTTTCTACTTTGCGTTATATATGCTTTTGGTTCTTTTGCATATGCCTTAGTTGTGAATCACGTTGGAAGCTCCATTGTTTCTGGGTATCAATGGATCAGTCTACTTTCTATTTCAATATTACTTTTCTTACCTTTATTTATTCAGGATTCCCTTTGCTTTATATGCTTTCTTATACTACATTTTACTATTCTTACTGCACCATTACCTATGGATAATATAATATTAGCTTCTTATAAAACTTTAATTTCAAGAAATTAAAATCGGGCAAGTTAAAAACCCATCATTAAACTCTCGCAACTTTCTTAAAAGTTGATAATTATTGTAAATTCATTTTTTTACTATTTAAATTAGAGTACGTACGATATAATATTATAAAATAATGTGATTCTATTGTTTATACATACATATTTCATAGCAAATATGGACTACAACTACACCTTCTCCTTTTTAGATTACCAATTTTGAACTTCTTACAATAATTACCGTATTAATTGAATATACAAAAGTTTAGGACGAGTCAAACGCTGAAATTAAAAATTGGAATTTGATATGAATGAAATAAACAAAGAAAAAGCAAAGTTGGACAGAATGAATAATCACAGCAAGTTTTAAGAATGATAGCTCCTAAGCTTTAAAACAAAGAGTGGGATTAATAGCAAAGTGGGGTACTGAGTTCATTCCCATTCAAAGAAGCAACATTATTCTAAAGTGCATGTCCTGTTTATTAAAGCCCCACCTTTGGACATACAAATCTTCCCTCCTCGACCCCACTTTCCTCCCAACTTTATAAATAAACCCTAAGCTTTGTTACCAAAATATATGCATATATGTGGGTGGATTCTCACATTATATATGTAATATATATACATGTATCAAAATCCAAAGACTTACACTATTGTCAGGTCATGTCCCACCCGTGCATATGCTTCATTCATTCATTCAAAGCATCTTCTTCCCCTTTCCATCTCTTCAAAATCATTTCATCGCCTTTCGTCCTCTCTCACGCCCTTCAAACGCGCTTGTTGTGAAGTGAACTTAATCACACCCGCGCCTTCTCTTCCTCTTCTTCTCCTTCTCTTAAATACTACACCTCCTCTGTTTTCGCTTCTCAACCACTCCTTGCTTTTCTTTATCCTCTCCTTTCAATGGCCACCTTTCTTCTCTTCCTTCTCCCCCTTCTTTACGCCTCTTTTTCCGCCGTTCTCTCCCGGACCTTGCCTCACGCCCCTCAAACCTCCGTGCTCGATGTCGCTGCTTCCATTCACACCACTCGGCAGGTCTTTGCATTTCAGCCTCAATCTCCAATGCGAGATGAAAGTACCGTCTCGGACTCATCTTCCTTGACTCTCTTGTTGAATTCCAGGGTTTCCATTATGAAAACCTCGCACACTGACTACAAATCCCTCACATTATCCAGACTCTACCGCGACTCTGCTCGAGTCAGATCTTTGACTGCAAGGATGGATCTAGCCATTCCAGGTATTACTGGAGCAGATCTTGAACCACTCCCGACTGGTGGTGCTTCGCAATTTGGGATGGAGGATTTCGAGAGTCCGATTGTCTCAGGCGCGAGTCAGGGGAGCGGTGAGTACTTCTCCCGAGTTGGAATCGGTAGGCCGCCGAGTCCGGTTTACATGGTGCTCGATACTGGTAGTGATGTAAGTTGGGTACAATGCGCGCCTTGCGCTGATTGCTACGAGCAAACCGATCCAATTTTTGAGCCTACTTCCTCTGCTTCTTTCACGTCTCTGTCCTGCCAAACACAGCAATGTAAATCGCTCGATGTTTCTGAGTGCCGGAATGGTACTTGTCTCTACGAGGTTTCTTACGGCGATGGTTCTTACACCGTCGGCGATTTCGTTACTGAAACTGTTACTCTCGGCTCGACTTCTCTCACCAACATTGCTCTAGGCTGTGGCCATAACAATGAGGGTTTGTTCATCGGCGCCGCCGGTTTGCTCGGACTAGGAGGCGGCTCGCTCTCGTTCCCTTCGCAGCTTAATGCCTCGTCTTTTTCGTACTGTCTCGTGGACCGTGACTCTGAATCCACCTCGACTCTCGATTTCAACTCACCGATTCCTCCCGATGCCGTAACCGCGCCGCTGCACCGAAACCCTAATTTGGACACTTTTTTCTACCTCGGCATGACAGGGATGAGCGTCGGAGGTGAAATTCTTCCGATTCCCGAGACGTCGTTCCAAATGAGCCAAGACGGAAACGGCGGCATCATCATTGACTCCGGCACCGCCGTGACGCGGTTGCAGACCACCGCTTATAACTTGTTGCGCGACGCGTTCGTTAAGAAGACGCACGATTTGCAGTCCGCACGTGGCGTGGCGTTGTTCGATACTTGTTACGACTTGTCGTCGAAGTCGAGAGTCGAAGTGCCGACGGTGTCATTTCACTTTGCGGACGGGAAAGAGTTGCCGTTGCCGGCCAAAAATTACCTGATACCGGTTGACTCGGAAGGAACATTTTGTTTCGCCTTTGCCCCTACCGATTCAACGTTGTCAATACTCGGGAACGCACAGCAGCAAGGGACACGTGTCAGTTTCGACCTCGCTAATTCGCTCGTTGGGTTCTCGTCCAACAAATGCTAATTATTATTTAGTTCTTATTTTAATAATGGAATTTTCGTCTTAATCCCGTTCTTTTATTAAGCTAATCGCTCCATTTTCAACAGGCTCTTGTAATATAGATGATGAATAGACCACCGGTTAACGGTAACTGGCAATAGTCGTAAATTCTGAGATGGCATGAGGGCAGTACTGGAAAGAAGTGGATAACGTTAGGATTTACGAGGTCCAATTAAAAAATAGTTTTTGTTTTTTGTGGTGAAATCCAGAGGAATGGGAAACAGTTAAACGGTCAACTGCAAGTTGCAGGTTAGTCGTACGTTGAACATTGGATGCCGAGGCTGTGACGTTGATTGGTCTGTCTTTCTTTAGCCTTTAGTTCTTGTCATTTCCAAGTTTATTTGTAATATTTTTTAGTTTTTGATTAATAGTTTTTTCCCCCTTAAAACTTTATTTTAATTCTTACAATAATATTCTTCTAATATATTCCTTTGTATGTAGTATAAAATGCAAATGTATATGATGTATTAGGTAGTATTTTATTAACCACCAAAATTTATATAATATATTGGATAAACTTATAGATTTTATTTTACTTGTAATACTTAATCAATGATTTAATACATATAATACATCGTGCAATTGCATGTGCATCTTTGTCGTCTTACATTATGAATTACATGTGGACATCTATCTTGCACAAATATATAAAATAAAGTTGTCATATATATATATATATGATATTTTAATTTTTTTTTTTCATGTTTATTTAGAGATAGTTTATCCTTTAAATATTTGAATTTATAAAATTATTTTTCAACTTAAAAAAAACAGAGTATTACAAGTAAGTAGATATATAAAATAATTTTATAAAAAGTATTTGAAAATTGTTTCAATTAAAAGTAGGTAGATTTATACAATAATATTGGTGAAAATTGAAGCTTGAAAGTGGGAGTGCGTTTAGGTGAGGTAGACCGCTTATTATTCGTTCCCATTCATAAAGACAAATTAGGAGATTTTTTTTTTTTTGATTCCTCCAAACTTGAGTTAATTTTAAATATTCATTTTTTAGATTAATGCTGATTTATTTAAAACTAAAATATCTACCAATATCATCATCATTATCTTTTTATAAACTCTCTAACGATTAGAAGGAAATTAGAAATGTAATTCCTCTATTATTATTAATATGTACATTAAATCACTTCAAATAAATGTTTTACGTGAAAATTATTATTTGATTAATCAAGAAAAAATAAATTTATTTATTTGACAAATATATATATTTTTAAAAAAATATGTTGAAATTCACGTGTCAAATCATATGTCTAATTATGTTTAATATATATTAAATTCAACCGTATACAGTGATGTTTTAACCTTTTAAATTAATATTCCAATGTTTTAATCAATTTAATGATTTTTAGAAATTAACACAAACAAACCTTAATTTAATAACACACTTTTTCTTTGTTTAGAGCCTAAATGAGAGTTTTTTAATTAATAAAGAGTAAAATTTTAAAAATTTGAAATATCCAATATATTAAAAAAAAAAATGTATAGGCCGACTAATTAATCGTGTGAAAAACGAGGGAAAAAAAGTATTTCATATTCCGTAATTAAAAATGAAAATAAAATCTTTTTTTGGGAAAGAAAAAAAAAAACGTCTACATCTTGACCGAAACGAAGAACAGCATCACATTATTCCTCCCCTTCACGCGGACAATGAGCGCGTGGCATAAAAACTCCTCGATTAGTGGAAATGGAAATGTGTACGAAAGCGAACAGCCACATTCCTGTACAAATTTGGGAGTGATTCTGTTCCTCTCTCAAATATGCTACACTGCCTGAAAATTTCAATTTCTGAATTCTGATACTTATTTTCTGTAAAGAAGCCCTAAAAAGCGACCGTTTGATCCACTCTTTCCATCGTTTTCCTACCACTTTTCACGTTTTTACCAACATTCTCTTCAAAAGCTTCCAATTCTCAAATACATTCAAAACGATGGCTCCTTAGTTGTTAGGCTATTCATAATGGCCGACTCCGGTAGCGCCTCTTCTTCTTCCTTCGATTCCGCCTCCATCGCTACCGTCGATCAGGTGCAGGTAAACCCCACTAGTCTCTTGGGTTCTATTCAATTTCTTGTTGTGGCTGCTGGGTTTCGTTTACTTTTACTGATAACTTTTGGTAAATTTCTTCTTACTTTTTTCTTGTTTCATGACCGATCATTGGGGTTCTTGTGTTTCTGCTCTTTTTTCTTTGGGTTGATTACAGAATGCCGTTCGCGGTCGTATGAGTGGTGTCGGAGGCCAAGCGCTGTCGGATGAATCGTCACGCTCTTGGCGAGACGTCTTCTGGTCCTTTGCGTTTATCATTCATTTGATCAGTGTGGGATTTGTGCTCGTGGTTCTGGGGCTTAATAGGTTCAAGAAGAGCAATAGGTTACAAATCGATAAGTACACCAATACAATCATGGAGAATCGGGTTGGATTAACCGAGGATTATTGGCCGCTTTATGCTTTGGCAGGCGGAGTTGGAAGCTTACTTGGATGGACTTGGTTGTTCTTGCTTGGTTCTTTTGCAAATCATGTAATGAAGATTTCTGTGCATATTTTGACTACGTATCTTGCTGTGATAAGTGTTTTGTGCTTCTGGGGACAACTATTTTTCTGGGGTGTAGCATTTGCAATTGTGGCGGGGTTGCAGTTCCTGTACGTTATATCAGTTATAGACAGGTATGAGGTTGAATTATGAAGAATTTTGATAGTCATTATGTGAACTATGTGAGTGAAAGTAGTGTTTCGGTTTATATGTGTTGGGCTCTATTTTAGACATGTTGCCCTTGAGCTCAGCTATTTGAGAATTAGAATTGTAAATGAACAAAAGATTGGACTAGGTGATCATTGCAGTCTTCTCTGACCTTGTATTTTTCCTTCCATAGACTGCCATTTACACTTCTAGTTTTGCAAAAGGCTGTAAAGATGGTATCCGGGCTTCCTGAAGTTATTAGAGTTGCGTATGCTTTCATGATTGTCATGCTTTTGTGTATGGGAGTTTGGTCTTTTGGTGTAGCTGGGATTGTGGCATCGAGTATGGGTGACGGTGGACGCTGGTGGCTACTTGTGGTGAGCGGGCAAGTTTGCTCTTTGTTATGTCGCTTTATTTGGAGATAACAAGTTTGACAGAAGAGCCATTGAATGTTAGTTGAATTTCTATGATATGACCATTTCTATTTGCAGGTTTTCTCCATAAGCTTGTTTTGGGCTGGTGTTGTTTTTTGTAATACTCTACATGTTATAGTTTCGGGAATGGTGTTTCTAGTCCTATTCCATGGCGGCAGAGAGTCATCATCTATGCCATCAAAGTCATTGATGAAGGCTTCACGGTATGCAGTGACAACATCTTTTGGTAGCATTTGCTATGGATCGCTTTTTACAGCTCCCATTCGGACACTGCGGTGGGAGGTATTCGTGCAAACTCTTTATCGCCTTCCACTTTGTCGATTGGTTCTTTTGGTTTATATATCTCAAACTAATTCGATAACTTTCAGATAAGAGGAATCCGATCAAAGATTGGCCAGAACGAGTGTCTGCTTTGCTGTGTTGATTTTTTGTTTCATCTCGTCGAGACTCTTGTTCGTTTCTTTAACAAATATGCGTATGTCCAGGTATTCCCTTTTATCTAATGTCAGGTTGAATAATTAAGTTTGAATTGTACTCTGAATTTTGTGAATTTCTAGTATGGTTTCTCCATGATTACCGCATAGTTTTCCCTGCATCTCTTTGCTTCAGATAGCAGTTTATGGTAAAAGCTTCAACCGTTCAGCCAGAGATGCATGGGAGTTATTACAGTCAACCGGTGTCGAAGCTCTTGTTGCTTATGATTGCTCGGGTGCTGTTCTTCTGATGAGCACCATCATGGGTGGGCTCACTGCTGGAACTTGCTCAGGTATTTGGACATGGATTAAGTGGAAGGATAAGGTGTCGATGGTGGCATGTACTGCAACATTGATGGGAATGGTCTTGGTAAATATGTTTTAAAAACTTATTTTCCTTAACTATTTCGTTTATCAATTGAGTATTAGTTCTAAATTGTTGTGAATAAACTGTTCTTTGATGTCTATCTTTTTTGAAAATTTCAGGTAGGCCTTGCAATAGTAGTTGTGGAAAGTGCCGTTACATCCATCTACATCTGTTATGCAGAAGATCCATTGTTGATTCAGAAATGGGATGCTGAATTCTTCAACCAGATTTCTGAGATGCTTCACCAGCGCCTTCAGCATCGGAGTGCACGTGCAAGGGAAGTGCTAACGGGGAATCGGTTTGACAGTTGCAGAGAAGACCTCGAACAGGCATGAATTTCGATACCACCATGCACAACCTAATTTGTTAGCTTTATTCACTTGAATGCAACTACTTTTGTTTGAGTTTTGGAGTTTACTTTTGTTACTGTAACAATCATTCAACTGTGAAATAACATAAGATTCCGAGATTAAAATATATTAGTAACTTGAAAATTTTGACGAATATTGCAACTTTTGAAAGAAAAGTAAAGTTGGGAAGTTCTTTTTGCAATTTAGCCTCCTGAAAACATGGATGATCCTTGGTCTTGTCTGTTTAGTCTGTGTTTTTCTTTTCTCTCATGCTTTCTCATCCTTCCTGCAACACAAAATCAAGAAGTGATGTTATGTTAAATATTGCCTTGTGCTTATGAAACTCGAAAGTCAAGACAGGAACATACTGAAAATACTGTATCTTTTGAATTGGACTGCTTGAGGGATGAAAACTCCTGTTCCATTCCCATTCTCCCATGAATTGACATGCCAAACAGGTTCTTCTAAATCATTCCCATTTAGACACCAACTCAAGTTTCTCTCTGCCTGTGGGTGACAACGACCGCTTTGTTCTGCACCTCGTTTTGCTGCAGTTTTGGGAGGTCGTTCGACGTCTTCGTCGTCATCGTATGTTGTCAAAAGTAGAATGATTTGTTTCCTAATCTCAGCATAGTAACTATCATCTTCTTCTGCTACTTGTGTGTTGAGCTCTGCTTTGAAATCCATGGTTATGGGGATTCTCCTGTGTGAAGTGAGATTGGGTATAGAATTTTATAGTGAAATGAGACCAAATAAAGTACTCTGCTAGGAGACAGAGTTGTGACAGATACAGAAAATAGGGGCTCCATTTGAGCGTTAAGCTTACACGGCTCCTGTCTAGATGTTAATTGCTTCATTAATGTCATAAACTTGTACATTAAGATCAATTGGCCAAGTGAAATGGAATCAATTCAATGATTTTTTTCCCTACATTAAAATCAACTGCCCTCCAAATTTGGATAATCGTAGAACTAACTTAACTTTTAAGTAGGGTTACCGTTTAATTTGATAAAATTGAAAGACAGCGTTGTGTTTCTAGTTATTGTACATGTACTCCCTCGCCTACTTCCTAAACTTGGTATTAGACACCAAAATAGTTCTAATAAATAAATATCTACTTGTTAATTTGGAATCTTATGTATTATACCCCATTTTTACCAATTTGACTAATTAATCTCAATTAATTACAATATGTCAATGCATCCATTTCAGCTAATTACTTATTAATTGCATCCATTTCTTATCTACTCCACCATTTGGAAACTGTCTCTGATGTGCGTTTCAAATCAAGAGAACACAGCCCTTAACATTTCTTCTCATACATTCTTCAAATTTGTGGATTATTCGCCGGAAAACGCTACTTTTTCTCTTCTCTACCGTCGGCACCGTCACAAGCGCCGTCGCCCTCTTTTCCTGGCAGATTCAACCACCCCCACATGGCGGCGCGGGCCAACTTTCCCCAAAACGCGACTCCCCAGTTGCTTGGTGGGTCCACCGGTATCTGCTCAAGTTGAGGGGGACAGAGAGGGCTTGCAGTGATTGGTGCACCCATTGCTTGTGCGAAAAACTTGGAAATTTCCGGCAGGGAATTGGAGTGCAAATAAATTGGTAAACCTGCCGCCCAGTGTGCGCAAGGAATGATTCATTAACGCCATGCGGTGAAAGAAATGATTTTTTATAATTTACAAATGAATGAAACCTTTATGCACGAAAAAGAAAGAGTTAGAGTTCACATAATATTCAAACTTGATAAAAGCTTTGAATTTGAGACATAAATAGCTAAACAAAACCATCCTTTCTATTGCAAGATTCCACCTTCTTCCTATAATATAATCCCCAATTGCCGACCAATGGAAAGCATAAGATTTAATGACATTCTTCCTATTAAATTTATTATTTTTACTTATAATAATCCTATTTCACCTCATTCACCCACAAGCATAAGCAATAAGCCATTAAGCCCCCTACAAAATGGGGCATTCTTACTGTGTATATATATATATATATATATATATATATTCCCCATTTACGTCTTTTATTCCTACTCTTTTTTTTTTATTATTTTTTGTCATTATATTTTAAATTTTACTATTAGTATTGGTATGTTTTGATGTAATTAATATCATATATGGTTTAGTGGAGACCGACTCGGAGAGAACTTGAGGGAGGGAGAAATTTTTTGAGGTAATTACATGAATAGAAGCACAAACACATGCTGTCACGAGAAAGGATCATAGGAAACTATTTTTTTTTTTAAATAACACGTGAAAATAATTATTTTAATCGAAAAATATACTCAAATTAGACAGGTTACTCTTCTAACTATAAAAGTAATTACAAAAAGTTAAAAGGATATCAGTGTAAATTTCGAAAAAAAATTATTAGTTTAAATAAAAGACAATTTTTTAGAGGTGTGAAACTAGCCAATATTATCGATTTTAGTCCATTACTCCGTTAAAATTAACCATTTTGGCTAATTGTGTTGCAAATATAGGAATTTTATATAATTCTGATTATTAATATTTTTGTTTTTCCAATTTTAGTGTCGTTTTAATTTGACGTTCGCGCGCGCATACGCTTCTTCTTCTTCATTCTTTCGTTGTCTCTTCGCTTGGTTTGAGTTTCTCCAATTTCATCCATTGTTTTTCTCTCCTTCTTTCATTCATCAATCGTCTCTTTGCACGCTCTCTCCTTCTTCATCTCGTTGTAACTCCTTCTAACAATTAACTCACAGTCTTGGCCTGGCTTTCGTTCATCGATTAACAATCGCTCAATTAATAATAGGAGGATTTAAGGAGCTCCGTGACAATTGTAATTGAGGATTTGAGGCATCTCGAGCAGCAAGGTTTACTGTAATTGTCAATCAACAGGAGGTAATTGCTAATTGCTGATTGCCAATTAACAAGGAGAAAATCAATTCTGTTAATAATGGTTTTTTGATGTGTTAAGTTAAAGATTCTGCTTAATCAATGGCTGGCTTTAAGTTATGTTGTTTTTAACTCTTGTTTGCCATTGTATTGATGTTAGCAGCTAACTGTAGAAATTTATTAAAGCAAGTGAAGCTTTTATTCTAATTTGAATAAACAAAGAAAAATTCGAGTTTATTTCTGTAAGTAGGTTTGATAACATAAATGTTAAGATTATAGGTACGTATGACAATAAATTTAGAGAGGGATATGAAATGGTACCATTTTATTTTGGACATCTTTTCAGATAGAACACCGGCTCCGACTGAGGGGACATCGGTGTTAACGTTGGTTTTGGCAGTGTTCCTTATTGTCTTCTTTTCGCCGTAAGAAAGAAATCAAAGCAGAAGCTGCTTTTCTGAAATAGTGCAATCATCATCTTCCAACAGACATGAACAAGAAGATTGACATGCTAGCTACAGCACTTGAGTGAAAGTCAATTGAGTATGACTCCACATTTAGGTGCTCACGAACAATGCAGCATTTGGACAACCAACTTTGGTGACTGCCTTGAAAGCAGCAGGAAAAACTGCTCTTAATTTCAATTTCCGCACTTTAACCAAATGGCATCTGAGCCACAACTTGACCTAGATTTCCACATGGTGGAGATTTGTTTTCGACACTATTTATGATTCTTTAGCAATTTTACAATCTGAATTATTTCGAGAATTGAACTTTTTTGCATTCAAATTCATTGTCAGGCAATCGCACATATGAACATTTGGTATGTGAGGTTTGACCCTTGAAGCTGGGATGCACAAACCACGCATATTTGGAAGACTTAAAATATTTATCATTCGTTCGTGAATGTCTGTCTTGATTGGAAACTTGCAATGTGTGAATCTTAATAGAAAAAATTTAAAGGGGATAAAGAATATTTAATGGTGGTGTTTTCATTTTTCCCTCTCAGGTGAGGCGTGTACAAGGTGTTTGAAAAAAGTCCCAAAAGAAAGGCTGTACTGGATCGATTATGGGTACCGAATTTCTTTTGGGGGGCAACAATTGTGATGGCTGGGACATGTTCGGCAACAGTCCTTATAGCGTGTTGGCCGTGGTGACTGCGCAACAGACGCGACAATGCTATTAATTATGTTCGAGGTAATTTTTTTTCTTTCTAAATTTTTATAGCGTCTAAAGATGCAAGGAGTCCAAAAGTCACTATGAATCGAAGTCAGACAAACGACATGACATCTTTCTCTTATGCTTGAACTTTAAGGAGACATTAATAATGGAGCTTTCCAATGGGGTGACAGTGGACCATAACAGCCCACCAATCCGAGAATACACACCACTTCAAGTTAAGTCAGACTTTGCTTTTCAGACAAAGCGCATTCAAAGTGAGCCATTTCAAAAAGTCGTAAGTGGGATTGAAAAAGCATTGCATTCTAGAATTGTAGGCCTCACTTGTCCTTTTTTTACTTGGATCTTTTTTATCTTTGCATTATTGATATATATATATATATAGATAGATGGATTTTTTTTTTTTTTTTCTGTTATCGTAATTTAAATACAGCATATACCAAAACATGTGAATTTCACCTTCTATATATCATTCCTACGGAATTAAGAAGAAGTAGAGAATTCCTTACTCTAGCTTATTTTGCATGAATCAATTTAATGTCAAAACACGTGGCACTCAGACAATTGCCCACTTGGCAGGAAAAGAAAGGTTATTACCACCCCACCCNCCCCCCCCCCGAGCCCCAACTTGATAGAATAGGTGTCCACGTCATACCACAAGACATCTTTTCATCATCTATATAAGGAACATCAGAAGTTCATACTTCCGTCCATAACCAATTATACACTCTCAAAAGCCTCCTAATTTAATTTCTGCATCGACCCCGTTCTATGAGGAGAAAAAGAATGCCTATTAACCTAGATCAAATTCCAAGTTTTGAAGAGCATGGTAATGGGTTTGATCAACATTCTGTGTTGGTTGAGGAGATTGAAGGCCTCATTAGAGTTTACGGAAATGGGTATGTGGAAAGGCCCCAGATAGTTCCCAGTGTCTCTAATGCATTGCCACCAGAGCTTGGTGTTACTTCTTGGGATGTAGTTGTGGATAAGCTGAACAACATTTGGGCACGTTTCTACATTCCAACACAGTGCCAGGAGAAGCTGCCTTTGCTTGTATATTTCCATGGAGGTGGGTTTTGTGTCGGCTCGGCCAGTTGGAGTTGCTACCATGAGTTCCTGGCCAAGCTATCTGCAAAAGCTGACTGTATAATTATGTCTGTGAATTATCGTTTGGCTCCAGAAAACCCTCTTCCTGCTCCTTATGAAGACGGATTAAAGACCCTTCAATGGTTGAAACAAGTTGCCTTTAATGGGGCCAAGCAGAATTGGTGGTCAAGATACTGCGACTTTACCAAAATCTACCTTGGAGGTGATAGTGCCGGTGGCAACATAGCCTTCAATGTAGCAGCCAGACTTGGTGGCAAGACGACTGCTTCTGGAGCTGTGGTCATGAAACCGTTAGTTATTAAAGGTAACATTTTGATTCAGCCATTCTTCGGTGGAGAGTCAAGGACCAAGTCAGAAAAGTTTCTTGTCCAACCTCCTCATTCGCCACTGACGACGGCAGTTTCTGATACGTACTGGCGGTTGGCATTGCCTTCCAGGGCGAACCGTGACCATCCATGGTGCAACCCTTCGGCAAATGGAGTGTTTGAGGTTGAGGATTTGAGGGTTTTGCCTAGTTTGATATGTATATCAGAAATGGACATATTGAAAGATAGGAGCTTGGAGTTTTGCTCTGCTTTACATAGAGTGGGTAAGCTGATCAATTATGTGGTCTATGAAGGAGTTGGCCATGCGTTTCAGGTTCTGAACAAGTCACAACTCTCTCAAACTCGGACCCTTGAAATGATGGATCATATCAAGGATTTCTTAAGTGTATAGCTTCATTTGAATTTGTACAAAAGGAAGACTTTTTTCAGATTTTGTTTTCCCTCAAAGAAAAGAGAGCGAGCATTCTCATCAGATTTATCACTACCCACTTAATATTTACTTATATACCTCAAAGGAGATTGCTGTACACAATTTGGAATGTCCTATGTGAATATAGATTATCTCTTCCCTGACTCACACCCTTCAAAATTTTTCAAAGATGTTCAAAGATGGAAGTGAAAGGGAAATACTCAAGTTAGCTCTTACGATAAAGACAATATTTTAAAGAAGTGTCGAACAGTTAGCCCACTTCTTCTACTCTTCTTGTCATAGTAACCGCCATCTCAATCTTATTAAGTGAGACTCTACTCTCAAGAATCGGTCTGATTGGTGAAAAATTTCACTCACCGTTCTTGAGCTCTTCTGTACTTTTCTTAAGCTCTCTTGTCTTCTTCGGCAGCAAACTTTTAAGGCAGCAATGAAATTGTCTCTCCTTTTTTCGTCTCTAATCTCAGCCTTTTTAGATACTCTACTGGAAAGAAGCCTTACACTTTGGGAGAGGGACTGACTCTACATTAGTGGATGGCTGATGGGACGCTAAGGGTGAATGATGAAGTGAAAGTAAGGACAAATTTAGGGCCCTCACTTCCCGAAAGGATAAGTGCCAACTTTACGACAATGGATATTGGTTGGGGGGCCAAATTCACCCCATTCCTTTTAGTCTTTGATGATGCACATTGGTGGCCTGGCGCTTGCTTTTTTCATGTGTAGAGAGCTAGCCGTTGTAAGAGTTAACGTCTTTTGTTTTTCTTTTTCTTTTATCTTCTATCTTTTTTTTGTTAGTTTTGATAAGATTAAATCGTAATTTTAGTTCTTAAATTTCCTTGGTTATATGTATTGAGTTCCTAAATCCTGTAGTTATATCCATTTAATTCTCAAGTAAATCTTGCTATATTTTCGAATTTTAAACTGTGAGTTTATCGGTCTTGAAAATTCTATATGACATGTCTATTAGATAGTGTTAATATCGTAGCAATATGAAAAATTGGAAATTAAAACATTTATTATATAGAGATGGTCCAGTGGGTCTTTGCAAATTCCATACCTTACAAATGTAATTTTTAAAATATTTTCAAGATTTGTTTTTCAAAAATTACTGATTAACTTTTCTTACCAATTCTCTCACATTGAGTGAGAATGCTATTTTGTTCTAGTTGGGTGTTGCATAGGAGATTAGTAATGTTGGCCCTAAAAGCATTTAGATTACCTTTTATTAACCTATCTTTAGAAACTTCCAAACCACTTTTGATCCTTGCAATTATTTTATAATACTATTTACCACTCATCAAGTTTTCTACCAAAGACTCAATTTCTGACCAAGCACCTTATAGTTCGAGATTCGGGTTGAGTGATAAATCAATTATTTATTATGATTCCCTTGGAAGCTATCAATTTTATGGAGGAAATACTTGAATTATCTTGAGGTTTTAATCAGGTAATAATCTGTAGTTACTAGTTCAGACTTTGCTTTATAAAATGCTCTGTACTATAAATGTCACATTTTGATCCTTGGGCATACCATTTAAGACTTCGAGCATGGAATTGTAGAAACAAGGCCTTGTAATTGCACATCTTTCAAACTATTTTTAGCCTGCTTCAAACTAACGAACTTAATATCGCAATTCTAGACTGTTTCATAATACCATTGTTTGTTCTTATTTCACTAAACATCATCAATGGGCTTTAAACGTTTTAATACTGTCACAATGGTCAAACAAAAAGAAAAAGTTTGGCCACGTTGATTGTCAATTAGTATTGCTGGAGTTGAACAATGGTTTTAATTAACACTGTACATTGAATATTGCATTTGATTTGAAGTAACTGGTTTGAATAGCTCCACTGGGCAATTTGGAGTATGTGAATAAAATGACTGATACAACAGAATAAACAACTTACAAAGCTAAGAACTAACATTATACCAAAGTTGTGAGTTGTTTGCCTCGAACAATCTACTACTTACCAGTAAAAGCTTTCAAGGTTGGCTAACATGGCTGCTTCCTAGTTTCTTTGTAGCACTCCCAGGTATATAAATTCTGCAAATGTGTCAACAAGCAGAATCTATGTCGATATATGTACCCATTTACTTTGGGAAACTTAGTGAAGTCAGTCAATAATAATTAATACAAATTGATAACTATTACAGTAGAGACTGAGGGTTGGCAATCAAAAAAAGTATAGTTACAAATGGAGACTTCATACCACCCCCTCCCCCCCCAGTTCAACATCCAACAAATTCTGAGCCAATTGTTGGAAAAAAGACAAATGAAGAAAGAATATTAGATTATGCAGAAGAATAGAAAGCATGAAGACTCTACTCAATCATCATCCACAAATGATCAACTGAGTAAAACCCAGAAGTCTTGAATGGCTCGCTCTGCACGCTAGAACTGCACTACAACAACCAACGGGGGGAAGAAACATACAGCTATTTCGCATAAAAACAATAGCAACTTCTGCAAAAGCACACCTTTCGTACAGATGTTCATCATGGATATGGAATCCCGTCTAACTAGACATCATCACGTGATCAATTGATTGAAGAGCTTGGTTAGCAAAGAACCGGACATCTACATCTGGATCCTCACTCAGTTCAACTAGACTAGGACGGATAGTTTTTTCCACCACCTGCGTTCCAAGTATTATCCAATATTACAACGAACATTGAGAAAGAAACTAAAATAGACAAAAGGACATCAAATGAAATCAGTTGGAACGAAAAAGGCATAAACACATAAAGTATCACAAAACTACTTACAGGTTGGTCAACTATGGGAATGAGAGACTGCAACACCTTCGCCACATTAAACTTGATATTTGGAACCCTGCAAAAACTAAAATTTATCACCGAAGAAGAGCCAAAACAAGGGACACAAGCCAACTGTGCTAACACCCACAATTCATTTTTATTGAGAACTGATAACCACTGGTAAAAATTATAACATGAGTTTCATTAACAAATTTATGACATGTACCTATCCTTGGAAGAACTGATAACCACTGGTAAAAGCTTTGAGCATGTGATTTCTGAGCCCATAACTGGGGCAAGAAGAGAGACCGCACGAAGAACAGTCATTCGATACAAATAGTGTGGGTTGTTAATCATGTCAAGAACCTGTTTGTGAAACGCCAATTCAGTTAGTGGAATACAAAGTGCATAGATTGTGTGCAGAAGGCAGGGTGAAAAGAATTTCTAGAAATGTTAGTTAGCGAAATATTTTTCTCCATGACCTCCGGATGGTGTTCTACCCTGACGACTCAACCCAATTGGAAAAACTTTTAATTCCCTCTGGTAGGGGCTAGGCCATTAATATACTATTTTTCCCTTTTCTTCAGACGGCTCATATTAATTTCTCATCCAAACAGGGAAAGGAAAATTTTTCTATGATCACCCTCCCTTCTCGGTGTTATTGTCCAAATAAAGTGATATAAATATAAGAAATTGTTTAAAAGAAAACGTCTGTCTATCATCTAGGTCAGCCTATATGAGATTGTGAAATTCATACGAAACAAACCTGTGGGACAATATGCTGCATTGCCCACTCAGGACCAAATTCTTCTGCAAGGCGCTTCAAATTATTTGCAGCTGCATCACGGATTGAGTAAACCTGCAAGGAGCAATCAGTGCAATAGAATTTTTAAAAATATATATAAATAAATAAATAAGAACTGCCTAATGTACAACAAGCCAGTGATATCTTTCAAACTGTCCTTTTAAAGTAACTTTTTCTTATTGCAATAGCATATGGTGTTGCTAGTAGAATAACTTTTTGATATGATATGTACCAAGACATCTCAATCATGCAATATGAACTTCAAGGAAGATTTTTGGATGGTTACAAATTTTGGGTGGATGATAATCTAGAGCTATGGTATTTCATTAGTGGATTTTAAAATCACAAACAAGCATATTTGTATTCTTGCTTGTGGAGTAATTCAAATCACAAACAAGCGATCAACAAGGTAATCCAAATATTACTTTCCTTGGAGTCATTCCTGTTGACGGTTGAAGATTACAAGAATCAAGCATATTTTATTCATTCAACATTTAAAGTGAGGGATTATTACTAACCTGGAATAGTAATCGATATCTTATATCCAATAAATTATGTTAAATTGACAAAGAATCGAACATATTTGTATTCTCATCCTACCTTTTTTTATGGAAGATAATTACAATCTTTTTCTTCTTTAGTATTTATTGACTTCCTCTCACTTTAGGTGTCCGAATTTATTTATATCTTTTTCTACATGAGAGAGAGAGGAGGAAGAAGAAAGAAAGAAAAAGATGTTTTTAGCATCTCATCCCCTTCGTTTCTTGTCCATTTCTTTAATGTTTATATTTTAACAAAAATTATATAAAAATATAGCTAGATCACTGATTGAGAAAACCTACAAGTAATTCCCGTAGCACTAAAAACAAACCGACTATGAAGGGTCCCTGAGGCTGTGAAACTTTGACTGCTCCCTAAGCTAGAAAGAACGATGACTAACCTAGAAAGAGCATTGACGCAATGAGCTAAGAAGCAACCAAAGTTGGCTTTCTAGCTCTAGATGTTTCTAAAACTGCAAGCTAGATAAAAAATATATAAGCTAGACATTTTTCCACTGATTCCTTGCTTTATCTCTGTACAATACATCTTTGGCTAGCCTTTCATGGTTATGAGGGTTTGGATGGTCCTCCACAATACAGTTATGGATATCAGGCCCTCTGATAAAACTAGAATCCTATGCATATATGCCTCAAAACCTTCCATATTTATCGTGGCTAGAGGGATGGAGGACTTAATGAAATCAAGCACAGGGAGATGGAATCTTATGCAACCTTTTTATCTCCTTATTAATAATGACCAAAAGACCAATCCTTCTGTTTTACTGTTACAATGAACCCTATGTTACTAAAGGCTGTGTTATGGATTGTCGCCCCTCCTGAGTTTTTATTCTGGTTCACTGTGATATAAAATTCTTGTGTACTATAAAAATAATAAATGTATAACTGACCTGACCTAAAATTATATAAGTCAAGTGAATAAGAAGTCGGAGAGTCAATTTAGGCATGTCCAGTATTTGATCTTTCAATGCTTTGTAGTGACGATATAGAATCTCTAAAATAATTCAAACAAAAAGGGACATCTAGTGTAATTAGTTTTGTATTACTTTCATCATGGTTCAGTTGCACAGTGATTACGATTGACAAATTAATGATCTGATGAACAGCAAGGTACCTTATTCAACCAAGAGCATATATCATTTTCTCACAAACTTCAGTAACATTCACCCAGAAGCATGTTATTCACATTAAAATTGATATTTTCACGCAGTCTTAAACCATAAAAAGTCTTATTGAAGATCAAGAAACACAAACCTTATCCTGTAACCACTGCATGCAAAGAGCGCCAAGCTTATCGTCAAAAAACCCAACACCCAGCTGACTTGCCAGTAAAGGAATGTATTCTATAATAGCTAACCTAACCCTCCAATGCCTATCCTCAGCAAGTTCAACTATGGCAGGTAACAATGATTGGGACAAGAGATCAATTCCAATAACCTGCATAACAGGTTTGTGATAAGATGACAGTAAAATGTTTTGGAGAGAGAAGATATGTGAAGTATAAATCAGCATCATAAATTAGGATGCTAGCTAATAACCTTTCCATTTCAGTTTCAAGGTCACTTATAACAAACCTGATTTACTTGATCAAGCTTGCTGATGATATTGAGGCGCACATCAGGAAATTCATCCTTCAGAAGAGAAAGGAATATCGGAAGCAGCTGTTCAATAGTAGCATCCTGCACAAGCCATCTGAGTGAGATTTTTGATGTCCAGTACAAACAATAATATACCACCAGAATGCTCCAACAAATACAAGT